AGAAGGAGGAAATGGGGAAGGAGTTTCTGAACTAACTCTGGAGAGATGCAAGAATCAGCCAGTCTGGGGCCAGAGTGATAGTAAAGCAGGAAGGACATTTGCCTTGCATGGAGACAACCTGAATTCAATCCTGAGCATCCCGTATGATCTCCCAAGCCTGCCAGGAGTAATTCCTGAGTACCACCGGGTATGGCCCAAAAAACGTAAACAAACAAGAGTCAGATAAAGGTTAAATGGAAAGATCATCAAACAGAGAAAAAGTTGGGAACTTCGTGGAGAGTTTAGGGAATTGTAAATGAGTTAGTTTGGTTGTCCCGTGGGAGATAAGGGGCTAGTGGCAGAAGAATCAGGCAAAGCTAGGTATTAATAGTAGCACTGTCCTCCCCATTGTTCATCGATTTGCTTGAGCGGGCACCAGTAATGTCTCCATTGTGAGACTTGTTACGTTTTTGGCATATCAAATATGCCACGGGAAGCTTGCCAGGCTCTGCCATGCGGGCGGGATACTCAGTAGCTTGTCAGTCTCTCCGAGAGGGGCGTAGAAATCGAACCCGGTTGTCCATGTGCAAGGCAAATGCCCTGCCCACTGTGCTATCGCTCCAGCCCAGGTGTTAATAGTAACCATAATAATTTATTACCAAGGACACTTATTGCCAGTGCTTTGTAGTAAACCAGTAGTTTACTTATTTTATTTATTATTTTGCTTTTTGGGTCACACCCAGCGATGCACAGGGGTCACTCCTGGCTCATGCACTAAGGAATTACTCCTGGCAGTGCTCAGGGGACCATATGAGATGCTGGGAATTGAACCTGGGTTGACCATGTGCAAGGCAAACACCCTACCTGCTGTACTATCGCTCCAGCCCCTCAGTAGTTTAATTGTGATGATACAATTATTACAATTTTATAGCTAGAGACATTGAGACTTGGAGATTCAATAGCTAACCTAAGTTACACAATAGTAGGTAGCAAATCCTGTATGTGAATTTGCCTGACCCAGAGTCCACATGTTTAAGAAATGCTTGTTCTTGGGTACCTGTTAATGTTAGAACTTAATTCTGAAGGTCATTGGGCGCTGATTTTAAGCCACAGTATGGTGGGATCATGTGTGCCTTCTGAAAAAATGGGACCAAGTGATAGTACAGAGGGTAGGGTGCAGTAGGATGCTTGCCTTGCACAAGGACAACCAGAGTTTGATCCCTGGCACCTCATACTGTCCCTGAGCCTTCCAGGAGTGATCCCTGAGCACTCCTGGATGTGCCCCTCCCCCCCCCCCAAAAAAGATTCTCCCGAGTTCAAACACATCCAGAAGTGATACCTGAATGCACAGCCCCTGAGCACTTCCCCAGGGTGCCTCCAAACAAATAAATGCCAAAAAGGGATTAAAAAAAAAAACAGGATTAGGCATTTGCCTAGCATGTAGCCAACTCCTGTTCCGTCCCCTTACTACAGAGATTACGGTTGAGCATCACTGTCACTGTATCACTGTCATCCTGTTGTTCATTGATAGCCTCAAGCAGGCCCCAGTAACGTCTCCTTCTAAAAAGCCACATTTGAGGCTCTTTCAGGGTCAGGAGAATGAGACCCATCATTGTTACTGATTTTTGGTATATTGAATACACCACGGTGAGTTTGCCAGACTCTGCCATGTGGGCAGGATACTTCTGGTAGCCTGCCAGGTTCTCCAGAGTAAGAACTAGATAAGATGCCTCCGGGACCAGGGTTCACAGTTGAGCATAGTGCCAGGAAGAGCCTCTGAGTATTGTGGCCCCGCCCCCGCCCCTCCCCACCTCTATTCCTCAACTACAACTACAACAACAAAAATTCTCTACTACTCTAAGGAGAGTGATTCAACAGAAAGGGCTCTGTTGCCTTAGAGGTAGCCTGCCTGGTGGGCCTGGCGGCTGGGGGGAGGCGGGGAGGGGCGAGGGGTGAGGGTCCTGGCGGGAGGGAACCGGGACATTGGAGGTGGGAAATGTGCACTGGTGAAGCCACGGGTATTTGGAACATAGTATAACTGAAAGATGATCATAAACAGCTTTGTAACTAGATATCTCAGGGTGATTCAAGTTAAAAGGAAAAACGAGAAGGATTTTACTCTTTACAACCAGCCAGGGAAAAACTGGGAAGGGGATTGAGAATGACGACGACTGGAGAAGACAGATTTTTTTAAATGCTGAGATTTATGGTGTTGTGGGTAGGAACACGGTTGCCTCTCAAGGAGGATTGGGAAGAGACACAAAAGAACTTTCTGGTATGTGAATAGTATATGTTATTATAGATTTATGTATTATGTAGTGTATAAAATAGATTTTATACATATAATTTTTTGTGAAGCAATATTGAAATTTATTTGGATGTGAGGGGAGAGAAGGAGAGAAGTATGAGTTCGAGAGAGCAAAGAGGGTTCTCCAGAGTGGAAATAAGCAAGAAACAAGCAAGATACTCAGGGGAGAACACGGGCTTGAACAGCCAGCAGAGATCCTATGTTTTGAAAGGGTTGTCATAAAACAAACACTTAAGATGCATGCATTTCATTGTATGTAAATTACTCTTCAAAAACCTTAATTCTGACAACAATATTGGCTCTCCCCTGGACCTCTTAGGTCGGAATGCCCAAAATCGGGTTTTGTGGAGGGCCCTTTGGAAAGCTCCGCAGCAAACGGATCACGTTTTTCCAGGAAGAGCACGTTCGGGGAGGCTAATATCTCAGCCATCAGGGGTCCTTAGGAAGGTCTCCAACAGGTTGGCCAGCTATCAGTCCTTCCAACCGTTCCTTGCAAATTTGGCCTCCTGGACTCTGAGCCCCGGTTCACTCAGGTCACCCGGGCCCTCTGCCGGGTGGTCAGAGAGACAACTGAGCCAGAAACCCGCCAAAACCGCTGCCGCCCCCGGTGAAGCCAGCCCTGGTTTTAACCCTGGAGCTAGCGAGGCGCAAACACCACGTCTATAGGATTTTCGAATTTCTGGAAGATCATTTAATCATCATGTTTAGACCTCCTTTACCTAGCCGGCAGGTTGCCAATTGGTCATAAAGAGATCTGCTCAGGGTGGTGCCCGGCCGACCTCGTGGCGCAACGGTAGCGCGTCTGACTCCAGATCAGAAGGTTGCGTGTTCAAATCACGTCGGGGTCAGGGTTGAAGTTTTGTTTTGTTTTTAAATCCATTCCCCTAATTTTCAGCTATATTCTAAATCTTGAGTTCAGGTGGGAAAAACAGGTCTGGTGTGAAATCTCGAGCCGCCCCGTCTGGGTAGCCTTTAAGATCCCGAAGATCTGGGTGTACTACCGAGTCGGGCCAAGAAAAGGACCCCTGAGTGCGCACTCCGAATCACTCAGAGGGTAGAAGGCAGGATGCTCACTCGGGCAAAACCCCGTCTTCATGGTGCTGGACAGAAACTTTAAAAAACACTGCGGAACGTAAATAGGGCCACACTTTGTCTGAGGACAGTTCATCTTGAGCAGCAAGTGTCACATAGACGAGGTGGCCGAGTGGTTAAGGCGATGGACTGCTAATCCATTGTGCTATGCACGCGTGGGTTCGAATCCCATCCTCGTCGGTTTCTAGCCACTCTGTGTTATGCTGGTTTTGTAATCAAACATCGCTCAGATACTTATTCAATTTTCTGGCATATCTGTAAAATGTACTGTGTCATTTGCTGTTATGTTGTAGGAGCCAAGCTTCATATGTGCCTATTACCCTGAAGTTATTTTGTGAAACCACGTGTTTAGTAAACAGTAGTACTGGGTTCAAATCCCAGCTGTCCCTTTTCTACTGGCTTTTTTTGCATATGTATCTTGGCATCCAGCCCAAGGATACCCATGAGTCTGTAGCCTCACTTCCCGAACTAGCAGGGTACTGACATTTTCATATTGGTGGTGTATATAGACACTGCATGCATGTACCGCTTCATTGGTGCTCCATCTGCCAGCAAGTCCCAGAGTCACATCATCTCTTTTCAGTATTGGGACTTGAGTTTTACTTTCACAAGTACTCAGAAATTGTTTTCATTTTTTGTTTAAATGCTTTCTCAATCAATGCTGCCCAAATGTTTATAATAGCCAGAATCTGGAAACAACCAGAGTGCCCAAGAACAAACTACTGTTAAAGAAACTTTGGTACATCTACACAATGGAATACTATGTAGCTGTTAGGAAAGATGAAGTCATGAAATTTGCCAATAAGTGGATGGTCATGGAGAATATCATGCTAAGTGAAATGAGTCAGAAAAAAGAGGGACAGACAGAATGACTGCACTCATTTGTGGAATATAAAATAACAGAATATGAGACTAACACCCAAGGACAGTAGAAACAAGGGCCAGGAAGATTGCTCCACGGTTGGAAGCCTACCTCATGAACTGGGGGAGAAGGCAGCTGGGATAGAGAAGGGATCACTAAGTCAATGATGGTTGGAGGGATCGCTCAGGATGGGAGATTTGTGCTGAAAGTAGATAAAGGATCAGATATGACAGCCTCTCATTATCTGTAATTGCAAACCATAACACCCATAAGTAGAGAGAGAGAAAGAGGGAAACTGTCTGCCAGAGGCAGGGAGAGGGGTGGGATGAGGATGAGGGATTGGGATACTGGGGACATTAGTGATGGAGAATGTACACTGGTGGAGGGATGGGTGTTTGATCATTGTATGACTGAAACTCAAACATGGAAGTTTTGTAACTGTAGCTCATGGTGAGTCAATAAAATAAAAATACCATCAATTTGTTCTATAAAAAAATGCTGCCCATTTTTTTAAATTCTTGGTAGGACTTGACAAAATATGAGTTTTACTTTGTTTCATTTATCTAGAGGAGGTTGGTTGGTTCAGTTATTTTAAGTGTGGCATCGATAACACTATGGTTGCAGGTCTGATTCCTGTAGGGGCTTCTTGCTGTTTTGTACTGATAATTTGATTTTACACTATGTGAGTACCTGTTACTGAGGACGGCTTACACAGAAACATTTCCAATCCCAGAGCTTTCTGCATTATTTTTTTTAAAACATAGTTTCCTCAGACTGGATACAAGACAATCATCCAGTTTGCTTGAGTTTTAAAAGGACACTTCCTTTGTTCCACCTACATGACCAATTAAGACATAGTCCAATTGGCAAAATGAGAAGGGGGCACAGAACTTTCTGCACTTGAAGGAAAAAAAAAAATTCATTCTAAAGTGGGTTTTTTTTTGTGGGAAGGAGGAAAGTTTTCCTTAGTCAGAACTCTGATTTCTGCCTTTATCCTCTTGTTCTTCCCTTCCTTCTTTTTCCTTTTGTTTTAACCTGTTTTTAAGTATCCTTACTGAAACATGGGACTACTAGAACTATGTGACCTGTAGAATGGTAGGCGGCTATTACAAGGACAATAATGAGTGCTTCAACCATTCTATGACACTGATCAGTGGAGAGTAGCACGAGGAGTCAGGAATGGAACATCTTTTTTTCCAGTCAGAGCCAAAATGTCCAATTCCGCCAAACCCCTGCCTCGTAACTTCAGAACTGAGAAGAGGATCCCTTCCCCTCTTCTGAAGTATCTTGTTTTCATATTTGCTTTTATTAGATCTCTGGACCCATATGTATGTCTCGGATGTCCACTCAGATGTGCTAAGAACTAAAGTCATGTCCGTCCCCATATAGCCTGGGACTCCCACCACAATCCAGCACCAGTCCCAAGGGAGATCCTCATGCCAATTCCGTTGATTCATCACACCCCACAGAGACACAGCCTTCGGAGTAGCAGCACTTTAATTCCACAAAAACTTAGAAAGCCAAAACTGATTAGAACACTCCACAGTAGGTGGGCTTCAAAAGCAGCAAAAATTCTACCTGAACCCTGAGAACAGTGAGATCCCTTCACCAGGGAACGCATTTCTCCTATTCACTCCTGTTGGGATGGAGAAACTAGCATGGCAAGGGACCAGAGGGTGAGAAGCAGGAAGTTATCCATATGCAGTGTGCAACATTATCTGCATGGTGTATGGCCAGGGACCTCTTAAGTTCCCACAGCCCTTGGCACCTGAGATATGGCCACAGCAATCGGGTGTCACTTTGAGGGTTGGGACCTCTTCTGTTCTCTCATCCACTTTACGGAAATAGTATCCCAGGCCAAGACCTAAAACCCTGGGTTCCCAGGATGGTGCTTTGGCTAGGAATGAGCTGGGGAGCATAAGGTAGCTACAGAGGGTCAACTGAACAGAAGCAGGGCGTCATCCCCCTCATTAGGAGAGTCCTTAGGATATCTTCATAAAAACTTGCACAAGCCCCAGGAAGGGGCACGAGCCTATTTAACGCATTTGCAAGAGTCGTATAGGTCTTTTCTCAACAGGCAGCTCCTGGCAGAGTTCCTTCAAGAGTCTTTAGGATTCTGCGTGTGCGTGTGTGCGCGTGTGTGTGTAGGGGGTGTCTCCAGCCCTCTGAGTCACTTGCACAGGGCTTCCAACACCTCCAGGGTGCGCCTGATGTCCCGAATCTGACGCGCCAGCCCCTGGACCGGCTGCAGGGCCCTCTCCAGTTCCTCGCACCGCGCCAGCAGCGTGTACATGCCCTTGATGCTCATGTCCACGGCTTCGCCTAGGGAGTCCACCGCGTCGCGGTAGGTCTGGATGCAGCCCACGCTCAGCGCTGTCAGCTCCTGCACCGCGCCACCCAGCCCGCGGAGCAGACGGTCCACCCGGCCGCCCAGCTCCCGGCTCAGCCGCTCCAGGTCCCGCAGCACGTCCGGGTCTATGGGGGGGATGGCCGGGGTGAGGCCGGGAGCCGGACACGGCCGCGCGGGGACCGGGAGAGGAGGCTGCGAGGCGCCGCTCAGGCGGATCTTGAGCTGCAGGTTGTTGGCCACGAAGTGCGTGAGGTCGCCGTGGCGGCTCACGGTCCCCTCGAGCTCCAAGGGGCTAGAGATGGTGGCGCGACGCCCAGCGCCGGGGCCGGACTCGACCCCTGCCGCGGGCCCGGCCGCGCCACACGCCCCGCTCAGCCCGTCCAGGCTGCGGCTGTCCTGCAGGCGGCTGGCGAAGGCTCGGCCGGCCCGGCCAGCCGCCGCCGCCGCCTCGTCCTCTCCGTCCGGCTCGGCGCCCGGCCCCGCGCCCCCCGGGCTCCCGCCACGGCCGGCCCTCTCGGACGCAGCCCGGTCCGCGGGAGGCTCGGTCCCTTCCGGACGCGGAGACCCGGCCCGGCCCCGCCCAGGAGCCAGCGCCACCCGGCGGCTCCCCGTCCCGGGCGACTCTCCCCGGGCGTCGGGCTGGTCCTGCCGAGCCTCCGGGGGCGCCCGGCGGCCGCCGCCGCCGCTCGAAGTCTTCGGGGACACGCCGGGGTGGCGGCCCGCGCCGCCCGCGTCCACGCCTTCTTCCTCCCGGCCTGCCCGGGGCCCCGGGGGCGGCTCGGAGGGCGACCGCCCGGGCTCGTCGCCGGACACCGCGGCTGGCTGTGCACCCGGACCCTGAAGCTCTGCCTCGGGCTCAGGCCGCCCCCGGGACGACTCCATACCGCAGTTCCGGGCCGGACCCGAGGAGTCGGCTCGCCCGGCTCGGGACCGGGCGCCTTTAAGGGGCGTTGGCGGCGGCGCTCGGCTAGGAAGAGGCCGACAATGGGACGGACAGGAAGGGCGCGCTGATTGGTCGCGGGGCCGAGTTCCGGAAGTGGAGCCGCCGCCGGCTGCCGGATCCACGTGAGCGCCGCGGCGAGGAGGCGTGACGGCCGCGCTCGCCTCCCTGTCCGCCCTTCCCTGCCTGCCTTCCCTCCTTCCCTCCTACCTGCCCTCCCGCCTCCCTTCTTCTCTTCCTCCCTCCTTCCCTCCTTCCTTCCCTCCTTCCCTCCTACCTGCCCTCCCGCCTCCCTTCTTCTCTTCCTCCCTCCTTCCCTCCTTCCTTCCCTCCTTCCCTCCTACCTGCCCTCCCGCCTCCCTTCTTCTCTTCCTCCCTCCTTCCCTCCTTCCTTCCCTCCTACCTGCCCTCCCTCCTCCCTTCTTCTCTTCCTCCCTCCTTCCTTCCCTCCTACCTGCCCTCCCTCCTCCCTTCTTCTCTTCCTCCCTCCTTCCTTCCCTCGTTCCCTCCTACCTGCCCTCCCTCCTCCCTTCTTCTCTTCCTCCCTCCTTCCCTCCTTCCTTCCCTCGTTCCCTCCTACCTGCCCTCCCGCCTCCCTTCTTTTCTTCCTTCCCTCCTTCCTTCCCTCCTACCTGCCCTCCCTCCTCCCTTCTCTTCCTTCCCTCCTTCCTTCCCTCTTTCCCTCCTACCTGCCCTCCCGCCTCCCTTTTCTTCCTTCCCTCCTACCTGCCCTCCCTCCTCCCTTCTTCTCTTCCTTCCCTCCTTCCTTCCCTCTTTCCCTCCTACCTGCCCTCCCTCCTCCCTTCTTCTCTTCCTCCCTCCTTCCTTCCCTCGTTCCCTCCTACCTGCCCTCCCTCCTCCCTTCTTCTCTTCCTCCCTCCTTCCTTCCCTCGTTCCCTCCTACCTGCCCTCCCTCCTCCCTTCTTCTCTTCCTCCCTCCTTCCCTCCTTCCTTCCCTCGTTCCCTCCTACCTGCCCTCCCGCCTCCCTTCTTTTCTTCCTTCCCTCCTTCCTTCCCTCCTACCTGCCCTCCCTCCTCCCTTCTTCTCTTCCTTCCCTCCTTCCTTCCCTCTTTCCCTCCTACCTGCCCTCCCGCCTCCCTTTTCTTCCTTCCCTCCTACCTGCCCTCCCTCCTCCCTTCTTCTCTTCCTTCCCTCCTTCCTTCCCTCTTTCCCTCCTACCTGCCCTCCCTCCTCCCTTCTTCTCTTCCCTCCCTCCTTTCCTCCTTGCTTCCTTCCCGCCCTCCCTCCCTTCCTTTTTTTGGGAAATTAAAGAAGGCACGGAGGGAGGTAAGCTGAGGTACGGGCTCCGAAGAGAACGCGACTTCTCCAAAGTGGAGAGGGCCGCTGCCCATCCCAGCGTTAAAGGTGGCAAGTATGGAAGCGCACATCTCAAGTGGGGAGATGCGCCCTGGCCTGTGCTTTGGTACCACGTACCCGGCAGCAGCACTTGAGTTTGGCAGTAACACAAGGGCATGGGCAGCACTTGCGCACCTCCCTCCCTTTTCGAGAAGCTGAGAGCACGCTGGCGGGAGTACCACCCACCGTTTTCTTTTTAAGACCGCATCGACCAGCGAGAGGCAGACCTGACAGGACCCGAGTCACCCGCCCCTTAGAGCCTTAGAGCACTGCCCGGACTTCAAAGGGGATGACTCACTTTAAAACAAAGAAAAAAATTGAGGAAACAGATCTTGAAAGCGATGGTCATGGAATACACGGTGACCCCTGGGGTGGAATTCAGACTCGACACACAGGACTGTCAGTCCCACAATTGTTCCTTAGTAATCACACTCACTGCCACCAGATGGGATTCTCAGAACGTTTCTGGAATTGTCCTTCTTGCAGGACTGGGATCAAGAAGGAGGATACCAAAACTGTCAGCCGTGATTGAACAGCTGTTGCCGTCATCCGGGGCTAATACACCCAGTAGGAGATGCCCAGAACTGCTGAAGGTGGACAGTGGAGCTAATTTAGGGGCTTCCACTGTTTCCACTCGTTTGCTCCCTTTCGTTTCTTCCTGTATCATGGGGTTTTGCCATGGAGGTAACATAATGAAAAACATGAAATTTTTTATTTCCAGTAGTTTTCTGATCTGTGGTCTCTTCCACTCTCTGAACCTGTTGGAGCCACACTGTCCTGAGTGAGGACATGCTTCTGCTACAGGGATTCCGCGTGCTTTTCTCCTCTTCTCTCTTTTTAAAATTTTATTTGAGGCTGGAACGATGATACAGTGGGTAAGGTGTTTGCCTTCCACACCGCCAGCCCAGTTTCTATCCCAGCATCCCATATGATCTCCTCAGCACCGCCAGGAGTAATTTCTGAGTGCAGAGCCAGAAGCAATCCCTGAGCATTTCCGGGTGTGGCCCAAAAAGCCAAAAAAATTTTTTTGTTTAAATAATAAAATTTTGATTTTGTCATTTGGCGATGCGGCCATGCTCAGGAGGTACTCCTTGCTCTGTCAGCTTAGGGGGTCATATGGGATGCCATATGCTGGAGCGATAGCACAGCGGGTAGGGCGTTCGCCTTACAAGCGGCCAACATGGCCGACCCGAGTTCGACTCCTCCGCCCCTCTCGGAGAGCCCGGCAAGCTACCGAGAGTATTCGATATGCCAGACACAGTAACAACAAAGTCTCCAATGGAGACGTTACTGGGCCCGCTCGAGCTCGAGCATGGGATGCCAGAGATCCAATCTGGGTAGGCTGCATGCAAGCCAATATACTATCACCTGTTTTTAATTTTATTTATTTTTTTATAATGTTTGCGCCACACCCAGCAATGCTGAGGGCTTAGTCCTGACTCTGCTTTGGGGCTTCACTTCTGGTGGGGTTCTGGGGACCATATGGGATTCCAGGCCTCGAATTTGGTTGATCACGTGCAAGTCAAGTGCCCTATTCATTGTACTATCCCTCCAGGACCCCCATTTTTTTTTTGATTTTTGGGTCACACCTGATGATGCACAGGGGTTACCCCTGTCGGTGCTCGGGGGACCATATGGGATGCTGGGAATTGAACCTGGTTCAGCCATGTGCAAGGCAAACGCCCTACCCACTGTGCTATCGCTCCAGCCCCCCCCCCCCCCACCGTTTTCTTTTTAAGGCTATATTGGGTGTGAAGAGATTAGACCACATCCAACTGTGCTCAGGGGTTACTCCTGGCTCTGTGCTCAGGAGACCATATGTGAAACTGGGGATTTAACCAAGGTGGTGGCATGAGAGACAAGTGCCTTATCTGCTGTACTATCTCTCAGGCCCCCCAAATTATTTTCAACTTAGATATTTATTGCTCCTTCCCTTTTCTCTACCAAGTCCTTACTCAAATGTTGCCTTTTCAGTGAGATCTTTCCTTAAATTTTAAACTTGTTTAAATGACAACCATATTCCTCAATTCCCAGTCTAATCTGACTGGATCTTCATCAGCTGACCTACAAAATATTACTTGCTTATGAAAGTTCCATGAGGGTAAGCCTTTTTGTTTGGTTCTTTGTCCTCAGTGTCTAGCTTATAATAGGTTGTCTTAAATATTAAGCAAGGAACCTTAACCATTAATTTCCATTTTGGGGTATGATTGCATTCAAAATGTATTTCTGGTGGCTGGCGATAGCTCAGTGGACTAAAGTATATAGACCAGGTTGGATTCTGGAAACTTTTGAAGACCAGAAGTAGCCCCTGAACACTACCAAGTGTGGCCCAAAAACCATAATTCAACAACTGAAATGTGTTTGTCATTTACACAGCTTTCTAACAAATCTATTATGAGACCAGAGGGCTACTCTAATTCTCTCCCATCCTCTTTCAGACTAACATATTGCTGTCTGTCTCTTACTTCTCCACAGATGTTCTTTATTCAGCAAGTGAGAATTAAGTTGAACCTACAAACACCCAGAGGGAATTTATTGTATCATAGAATTATGGTCTCAAGACATGGTGCAGGAGCTGGAGTGATAGCACAGTGGGGAGGGCATTTGCCTTGCATGCGGCCAACCCGGGTTTGATTCCCAGCATCCCATATGGTCCCCTGAGCACCACCAGGAGTGATACCTGAGTGCATGAACCAGGAGTAACCCCTGTGCATGTCTGGGTATGACCAAAAAGAAAGACAAAAAAGATATAGGACAGCTTAGAAAGCCTGGATCCAGTATATTAAAGCTATATTAATCTATTTTTAATCTGTGGGAATAGTTATAATCTAAATGGGGTTTTCATGATGGCACATAGCCATGCCATTTATCATTTTGCCCTGAAGTCTGTTTGGGCTGCTATAACGTGTCTTTTTTGGGGAGTGTTGGTGGGGGTTTTCACACACCTGGTGATGCTCAGGGGTTTACTCCTGGCTCTGTATTCAGGAATTACTCCTGACAGTGCTCGAAGACCATATGGAATGCCAGGGTTTGAACCCAGGTTGGCCATGTGCAAGGCAAATGCCCTACCCGTTGTACTATCACTCCAGCCCATATTAAGTGTCTTAAACAGCAAACATTCCTCACAATTCTGGGGCTAGTAAGTACAGGATGTCTGTCATGGTGACATTCCTCACAGATGACCATCTTCTGGATGTGTCCATATGTCACAGAGAACCCGTTCTCTGAGCTCAGAATGGTCATGAATATTCATGACTTTAACCCAATGATCTCCAAAGACCCCACCTCTGAATACCATCACAGTAGGGTTTAAACTGGTAAATTTTGTTTTGGTTTTTGGGTCACACCCTGTAGGGCTCAGGCCTTAGGATCATGCCTGACAGCGCTTGGAGGACCATATTGGGTGTCAAGAATCAAACCTGGGTCAGCCTTGTGCAAGGCAAGTGCCCTGCCCACTGTACTACTCTTCAACTCCTATATTTTTTTTCTCCTTCCCATCATTGTTCTTTGGTAGGGAACATGGGGGTGCTCCTGGTGGATTTCAGGGTCATATATAGTACTGGGGATCAAATCTAGATCAGCTGCATGCAAGGCAAGTGCCCCACTTCCTGTACTATTTCTCTGCCCTCTCCTTCATTGCTGTTTGAATGATAGGGGCTCACACCTGGCTGCAGGTACTCA